TCTCTCTCTCTCTCACACACACACACACACACACACACACACACACACACACACACACACACACACACACACACACACACATTGCAAGGTTGGTGTGAGTAAAGTCGACCACTTTTCTCTCTCAGGGGTGGGTATCGCTAACTCTGGGCGATATGGTGAGTCCTTATCCATCAGTCGAATGCATCCTGGAAAGACAGACTGTCGAGGTTCAACCTCCTGATGAGTCGGTGAACGTCCGACGAAACAGTCTGTTCGGCACAGTCATGCGTTGTTTGAGTGTATAGCTCTTATGCCAACACACACACACACACACACACACAAACACACACGCGCGTGCGAATGGCCCACCTGCATGGCCCGCCACTGCCCCCAGTGCTATTTTCATGAGTTGGCACCTTCTTTTTGCATCTGGCCCAGATGTTCGCTTAAAGACCCACGGGGATTCCTTTTGCGCTTCTTATCTGGCAGCAGCTGTTCAAATGCAAGTACATAGCAGGTTTGAGATATGTCGCATTTCACTTTGTTCGGCTTTTTTTTTTTTTTTTTTTTTTTGGGCAACGGTCTTGAGATACGTATATCATATACATATACACATACATATACATATAAAGACGTGCCTTCTAGGCAGAAAAGGGAGAAGAGGAAAGGGAACGCGGTGATGTGACAGACCGTTGTGTCCGACTTTTCACCGACTCATCAATCCGCACAATCCCAGTTGAAACAGACATTCAAGCATGCAGGAGACAAGTCAATTGAGAACCTCCCTTGCACCGAAGGATGTCCTCTCCGTGCCATATCTCCACATCGATCTCATCATTATAAATATTATTATTCGAAAGAATAAATGACTTCCTTAATCCAGATCCCGACCGTTTCGAACAGCTGCTCGTCTTAGCTGCAATTGCAGTGCAGAACCGATGGAAACAAATGATTTACCATCTAGCCTAGCTCAGTTGGTACACCCATGAACTGCCGAAACACAGACGCAAGTTCAAGTCCACACACAACCAGATGTACGAAGATGATATCTCAATGCCGCCTCCCTTCGGGGGAAAAAAAAATCAGAAAACGATCTTCCACACCACAGCCATCGCCGTAGGATCCTCATCACCGCCACATCACATCGCGGTAGAATTCCCATCATCAACACATTCCCGAGTTTTGTACATCACTCCTAGTTCTTCATTTCTTCAGCCCCCTCCTTCCTCATTTCCTCCCGATCACCTCTCCCTCCCCTTCCACCTCTCCCTCCCCCTCCACCTCTCCCTCCCCCTTCAGTAACTTCTGAAAGGCACGGTTAAAAAGTCAAAGCAACGTCACCCTGATCACGTCTTTCATGGCCTTCCCTCCTCCCCTCTCACTCTACATCCTCTCGCCCCCTCTCGCTTTTTTCTTCCTCCTCTCCTTCCGAATGAAAGCGTACTTGCCAGTCTCCGAACTCCCCTCCGCCTATCCTTGAACTCTCCTCCTCCTCCCCTCCCCTCCCCCCTCTCTCTCTCTCTCTCTCTCTCTCTCTCTCTCTCTCTCTCTCTCTCTCT